TCTGCAACTACCCTACCTCACTGCCCCCCACTAGTATCCCACTCATCCACCTCACTCGCCCGGTTCCAGCCACCTCACTCTGCCTCAGATATACCAGGCACAGTCTTACCGTAGGATCTTTTTGTGGGCTGTGCCTGGACTGCTCTCCCGATAGATACCTGTGTGACTCCCTCCTTCATCTCCTTCAAACTGAGACATTTGCTGACCATTCTTTAAAACTTTCAGTCCTAGGGATGCTTGGGTGGCTCAGTCAGGTAAGCGTCTGCCTTTGGCTCAGGTCATGATCCCAGGGTCCTGGGATCGAGCCCTGCATTGGGCTCCTTGCTCAGTGGGGAGCCTGCTGCTCCCCCTGCTTGTGCTCTCTCTCTGTCAAATAAATAAAATCTTTAAAAAAAATTTTTCAATCCTAGCATGCAGCTCTTGATCTTGGGGTTGTGAGTTTGAGCCCCACGTGCAGGTAGAGATTACTTAATAAGTAAAAGTTAAAAAAAAGTTTTTTTTTTTAATTCAATCCACTTGTATTGGCATTCTGACCCCTTATCCTGTTTATTTTGTTCTTTTATAAACAAATATATAATTTACTTATAATCTGTCTCCCAACAAAGCTGTCTCTCACAGGACCTGATGATCCACACTAGGCACGTAATAAATGTGCATAGAATGAAGAAGGTCTGAAGGGCTTTAGGTGAGACCAGGTAGAGAGTGGGGAGAAGCCCTTCTCCACGAATTCTCAGGTCTGTGTCTCTCCCTGGTGGCCAATCTCAGAACTGCAGCCTGGTACCCCCAACCATTTCCCCAACCCTGCAAACCTCTCAGTACTCACCAGGGCCGGTGGTCACAGAGGCCCCATCAGTGGTGGCTGAGGGCATGGAGGAGGGCTCTCTTCTGGGGGCTGAGAGAAGTGGAGCTCCAATGCAGGGTCAAGGTGGAGGAACTTGGGGGGCTGGAGTGGGAGGTAGGGGTAAGCTCTGAACCGGGGGACCAAGAACTGGGGTGAGGAGGTTGTGAGGAGGTGGGCGCCAACACTGGACTTGTGGAGCTGGGGATGGGTGGGGTGAGGGGGGTTTTCTCTGAATCTGAAGAGTTGTGGGGGATCGTGGAGACTGCCTCTGAACTACGGGTTCTAGCCAGTTGAGTCTGCTAAAAAAGAAACAGGTCCAAAATGGAGTCACCTGTGCTAAGCCCCAGATCAGCAAACCAAGATTTCATACCTGATCTAATTGCAGTTTCCACCCCTCCCACAGGACTGTGACCTCTACCCCGTCAATCTGGAATGACCCGGTCAGCACTTGGGAGATAATCTGACTGATAGACGCCCTTCCTCTGCTTTCCCCCAAGGAAGGTAAACTTGCTTGAAACAATCCACCCTTTGCCAGAAACTTCCTTTCTCTTCCCCCTTCTGCCTATACAAGGCCTTCCATTTTATACAGCTCCTCAGAGCTCCTTTCTATCTGCTAAGATGGGCTGCTGCCCAATTCATGAATCATTAAGTAAAGCCATTTAGATCTTCAAATTTACTCCACTGAATTTTGTGTTTTAACAAGCCTGCCTCTAAACTCAGGGTTCTGGGGTGGATGGTAGAGCCTGTCTCTGAACTCGGGGGGCTGAAGTAGTTGGTGGAGGTTTCCACTGAACTGGGGGAGCTGTAGCTTGGAAGCTGCCTTCTCCATCCTGCTCTCCAAGAGCACCGAAAAAAATAACACTCGGAAGGAAAAGGCCACTAACCTTGAGGGGAGGGGATGGTTAGGAACAAGGGTGTGCAGCCCCAGCCCCTCTCTGGATGTCGATTTCCCTATTATCCCAGATGGTAAACACCTGCCTCTCAGCAAGACCTGGAAGATTTAGTTCACCACGTTGAGTACTCAGTGGGAAAGCGAGGCGCCCTTGTCGGAAGTCCCGCAGTCAGAGTTCCAGGCCAGGCCAGACCCTCCCAGCCCCTATTCTTGCTTTACGATTCTAGAGACCCTCTGAACCCAGGCAGCTTGCTGAGGAACTCTTTTTCTTCCTTCCTTCCTTCCTTCCTTCCTTCCTTCCTTCCTTCCTTCCTTCCTTCTCTCTCCCTTTCTCCTTTCTTTCTTTCTTTCATTCATTCATTCAGTAAACTCTACCCCCCACATGGGGCTTGAACACATGACCCTGAGATCAAGAGTCACATGCTCCACCAACTGAGCCAGCCAGGACCCCCCTGGGGAACTCTTTTAAACTTTCTGGGACTCAGTTTGTCTGTAAAATGGACATCACGGTAAGTCAGAGCCTCTGAGCGCTCACACAGGTCTGGCACCTAGTGGGTACTCAGTGATGCTCAGCTGCACAGATCCATTCCGAGCTCCTGGGGAGAATCAGCCCCTGATCCTCACCAGGTACCTGGAAGGTCCCCAAGGCTAAACTTGGAGCCTTAAATGAGGGCCTGGCTCAGAGGCCTGGGCTCTGGGAAGAATCAGGGGACTGGGTCTCTGGAAACCTACCCTGCTTTTTTCCAGCCATTTCCCGGCTCCTACACCATCGTAGGCACTGAGCCCAGGGGCTCAGGGTGGGTAAAGGTTTTGCGGGCCACCTCCCACAATTACTTCCCAGTTCTGGGCTCCAGGCACCTTAGCAGTTTGCCAGTTCATTCATCAACCGCTCCCTGCCCCACCCCACCCCCCCAGTTCTCTGTCCAGTCTCCCAGGCTCTGTGGGGATGACAGAGAAGTCTAGAAGAGGCATCGTGCACTGGCCTGACGTCATTCCCATTTTACAGATGGGGAACTGAGGCTCAGAAGGGTAGGGAGTCTGGCCCCAGGAGACTGCGAAGGTGGGAAGAGGGCCTCTTAAGGACCTCCGAGGAGTCAAGGGCCAAGAGGCCAGCCTCCCCAAACTGCTTCGCATTACTGAGGAATTTCTGCTGAAATCAGAAGACGACTCAGGGCCACAGTGGACCTCCAGCCAAGCCAGGACCCCGGCGAGCTGAACTTTTTAAAGTGAACTGAGTAATAGCAGTGAGCCTTGAAAGAGGAGGTGAAGGAGGACACAAGCTCTGCTGAGTGCCTGGTACAGAGTAGGCAGGTGCTCATGAGCTGCGGGAGACTCGACCAGAAGGTGAAGTGGGGCTCTTTCTATGCACTGTACCAGGAGTTTCCTTTGCCCAGAGAGTCCCAGACCAGGAGGCTGGCAAGAGCCAAGTCAACTGGTTCGAATCTGGGCCTGGCACAGCTGGGAGACTCGTCTTGCCCAAGCCTGTTTCCTGAGCTCCGCAATGAGGATAAATGCGGTGTCTTCTGAACGAAGCTCTTGCCGGCAGTAAGAGTCTCATGCATGGTGGTCTCCACTCTCAAGAGTCCAGGTTTGGGGCTGGGGCACAGGGTCAAAAAGAGCAATGACTTGGTGGGAGACGGAGGGCTGGGGGAGGAGGATCCCAGTTCAACTCTTCTGCACTCTGGGAACTGTCTTACAGGGCAGCAGATGGAAATTAAGTCAGGTGCCAAGAATGTCTCCTGGGAGCCATAAATAGCATAAGTGGCCAGGAAGTGAGCCCTTGTGTGTCTCCCCCGCTCTCCCCCCACCCCTGCCGCCGCCCGGACCATGGCCCTGGGGCCTTCACTCCAATCCCTGCAGGGACTGGCTACAGGAAACAGGTTTGAAACAGAACCTCAGACTGGGTACGGAGCCCCCACTAGCCTCTGGCTGGTCCAGCTCACGCTGGGATGGCAGAACTGGCTGGGGCTGGGGCAGGGGCTGGGGGCTGCAGGCGTGGTGACACTCCAGCTCTTCTCACCCCTGCCCCACCTCCCTCCTGAGAGGAGCGGCCCTTCGTGTTTTGGGGGGAGGCGGGAGGAGGGGCAGGCCGACCAGGGTGGCCTGAGGGAGGGGTCCAGAAGCCAGGCGTGTAGCTGGGCCACGGGCCCCCCTCCAGCTTCCTGGAGGCCAGGTCTCCTCCTGACCTGTTCTGACCTCTACAGGCGACAGTGAAGAGAAATTCCCCGACAGCAGCACCAGAGCCAGCAGCAGACGTGCTGGTGGCCGCGACCCTGACATTCTGGTGCAGGGAGGGCCAAAGGCGGGCTCAGCCCAGGTGTGCGGCCAGGTGCCTGCTCTCAACACCCGCAGGCGCAGGCGCACCCTGCTGGCGGCCGGTGGGAGTGCGCACAGGCTGGGCCTCGGGACACAGGGCCTCTGGGGGGCTGCTACTTACTGTTCACCGGGCTGTCACTCCCGCCGCCCTCTCCACCTGGATCCCCCCACCTCTCCTAAAAACCGCACCTGGACCGTGACCCTGAAGCCCTTAAACTCTCCCTCTCCCCTCAAGACACTCCTGCCGCCCCCCCATTCCCTTTCCCCTCCACTCTGTGGCCCTCTCCACAGCTGCCCCAAACCCACATCGCCACCCTCCTCTGCCCCTCCTCTGCCCAGGCTACCCCCTCTGGGGCGGCCCCCTCCCTCTCTGCCCTGTTCCTGCCCGTACAGGCTGGGTTTATCTGTGTCTGGCTCGCTCTCACCTAGACCAGGGGTGAGAGAGAAAGGCAGGATACACTTCCCAAATCAGTAAGTGGCTGGAACCCCCTAGCATGTCCTGAACGAAGCACCCATGCATGCACCCGTAGGATTTTCTAGGGCCAAAGAACTCATGGTGGCGATTTTAGGCCAGATCCCCAGACGCTGGCTTCTGGAATGTGCTGGGGACAGCTTCCATCTGGAACTGACTGGACCCCACCCCATTAGCCGTGGATAGATACAGCGACAGAGGCGGGACCACACGGTTGGTTCGCCCTGACCTCCGGAAAAGACTTAGGGTCCCCATCCCAGCCACAGACCCCGTGTACCAAGTGCATCGTTGGAGGCTCCCATCCAGGATGTTCCAGATCCTCCCAATTCCCCCCCACTCCCCGAACCAGGCCCAAGACACCCCCATGAGCACAGGCGGACCAAGACTCAGGCTGTGGAGGGCTTTATTCGTTAGACCCAGAGAGCCACACTGCCCCTCCCCTGATGCACCCCCCCCACCACCACCAGTCAGCCAACGTCCTAGACGCCTGGCCACTGCACGTGCTGCGAGTTGTCCCACCCTGCTGGTCCCAAGAGCGCATCCGCAGTGAGGGAGGCCCGGGTGTGGTGGCCGCGCCGGGTGGCATGGAGCATCCTGGCAGCCATCTGCTGTTGCCTCAGCCGGCGGCGCACCGTGAAGCCCCTCCAGGCCGACTGGATGGCCGTGGCTGCCTCATGCTGGCGACGGGACTGCCGGGGGCTCCGGGAGGCCATCGGGGTGCCGCAGGCCCACGGCACGCCAGCCTGGACCCTGGAGCCCCGGCCCACGCCGTGCACCACCCGAGTGGGCAGGGTGTGGCCACACGTGTGGCACGTGCGGGGGCTGGACCCCACGAGCATCACCACGCTGGGCGGGCTCCCCAGCCTGGGGCTCAGGGCCTGGCAGAGGGGGCAGACGTGCGGCTGGCAGGACTGGAAGCAGCGGTGGTCCGACGCGGACTTGGTCCACGCGCCTGGGAGCAATGCTGCCTGGGTTTGCTTCCGGCGGGTGCAGAAGCCTCGCCATGTGGCCTGGATGGTGGTGGCAGCTTGGGAGAGCCGGGCCAAGTTCCGCCGCACACGGGAGCCGCGCCAGGCGGCCTGGATGATGACGGCCCACTGGTGCCACACCTTGATGGATCGGCGCACCAGGTAGCCGCGGGCACACGCCTGGATGGTGACCACGGCACGGGTGATTATCTTCTCCACAGCCTGCAGCGACGTCACCAGCTCCCCCGACGGTCTGGGATCCTCCGCTGCCTCTCTACCCGCAGTGTCCCAGGGCACAGCAGCCCTGGCCAGATCCCAGGCGCCCCCGGGGGCTCCGGCGCTGCTCACGGGCCCGACGGCTACACTGGGGACGGCCGAGTTCCGTGCTTGGCCACCAGCTATGCTGGCGTCCACAGGGCCCTGGAGTACAGTGGGAGTCAGGGACGCCCTGTGACTGCCTGCAGGAGCCACGGTGCTATGGAAATCCCGGGACCCCTGCATCGACTCCGGGGCAAAAAGGGGCCTCCGGGAGCCATCAGGTGGAGACTCATAGCCCAGAGACACCCTCCGAAACCCCAGGGGCAGCTGAGGGGCGGTCGTGCTGTGTGCCACCTCGGTGGCGTGGCTGATGGGTATCACGGCTGGTGGTGCACTCTTGGGGTGTTCGGGGCTCTCCTGTGAGGACCTGGAGGCGGGCTCCTGCACTTCAGGCAAGGACACAACCCTGGCTACATTACCGTCTAGCATGTCTGAGACAAGACAACCATGCATGAACCTGTAGGATTTTCTAGAGCCAAGAAATTTGTGGTTGCTCCGAGTCAGGTCCCCAGACTCTGGCTTCTTGTGTGCCCTGGGGACCGCTTCCACCTGGAACCCACCAGATGCTATCCCCCCAGCCATGGGCGGGTACAATGCATGTGAGGTCTTGTGGGTGGTCCCTGGCCTCTGGGAAGTGCTTGGGGTCCCCACCCCAGCTATAGACCCTGGGTACACACTGGATGCCATAGTACTGCTATGGACCAGCTGGGGTGACCCTGAGACCATGGGAGAAGCTCCCATCTTGTGGGCATGGCCCTGGGGCACCCTGTGAGTCACCAAGGGGCTCTGGGGCACCACGCGAGCCACTGATGCCTGTCGAGTCAAGGGGGCCCCAGTAACCTTGACAGGCTCCATGTGCACACTGGGAACCCTGCTAGCAGTCACAAAGTGGGAGCTGGGGGCCTCCCAACTGGCTGCTGACCTCTGCTGCAGAGTTCGAGTGGTGCCACCAGCCATGCAGTGCTTGGCAAAATTCAGGGACTGGGGCGGGACAGGAGTCATGCCACTGGCCAGAGACTTGGTCTGGCTAGGAACCATTTCCAACAACGGCCTTTGACCATCGGGAAGGAATTCGTGGCTGTGGTCAGTTGACAGGGGATTATGGGACATCCACGGGGTTGCGTCGAGGACCGTGGACTCCGCACTGGACGCGAACACCGGGGACACAGCCTTGTTCAGGTCCTCTGGTTTCATCATGGCCTGGTCATCTGTGGCCTCAAATGGCATCATCTCAAGAGCGTGGCTCAACTGGGAGGCTCTTTGTAGGACCGTGGGCACTTGGAGTACTCTCCTGGTTGTGCCGCTAGATTCCAAGGCCTGGGGTTGCAGTTGAGCCAGGCCAGTGGCATGGGATGCCTGGAAGGGGGCTGTAGACCCTTCCCCAGGCAGGGCTCCATGGTAAGGACGGGGAGAGATCCCGATCAGCATGGACCCCTGGGGGAGGCTCTGGGCCACATTCCCCACTGCGGATGGCAGGCCAGCTGCATTATCCGTGGACCCTAGAATCAGGCCCTGATTCAGTCCCCCAGGATCTATGGCTGGAACCACACTAGAGGCCACAGACCCAGGAGACACACCTGGGCCCATCCCACTTGACACTGAACCTGGGATCAGGCTTGGGGAAGTGAAACTCACTGAGGGTCTTATGAAGCTTTGTCTCTTCCCACCAGCCCCAGATGTCGCCATCAGACTGGGGGGTACCCCACTAGCCACAGAACCTGGCGGAAGGTTCTGGGCCACAGCACTGGCCATGGGATCTGGGGGAAGACCCTGGCCCGTGCCGCTGATCACGGATCCTGGGGGAAGGCTATGGCTGATACCACAGATCACAGACCCTTCAGGAAGGGTTTGAGCCACACCACCAACCACGTAACCGGGCGGAAGGTGGGGAGGCACAGCACTGATCACGGACCCTGGAGACAGGCTCTGCCCCACGCCCCTGATCACAGACCCTGGGGGAAGGCTGGGGGCCACACCACTGGCCACGGTACCTCGGGCCAGGGCTGTGGTCATCCTACTGGGTACAGAGCCTGGCACCAAGCCACTAGTTGTGTCCATCACGGACTCCTGGCTGAAAGCATTTGCTTGCTCATAACCGGGTGCCGTGATTGTGGACACCGAAGGATGCTGGTGGTTCAAAGATACTGGGAGATCAACATTGACCTGAGGCATGCTGGCGCCTGCGTTGGCCTGAGAAAACCTGAATGGACGCGTACCCAGCCTGTTGGGCACTGAAGCCCGAGAAAAACCAGGGCCCTCTGAGGCTTGCTTGTGAATCAAAGGGGCACCTGCCACAGGGGCCGGGGATGCAATGGGAGTCACGCCACTGGCCATCTGAAACTGGTTTGGGCCCAGACCAGTTGTCACACTTCTCTGGCACACACTCCCTGTCATACCCGGAGATGCAGGCCCTGGAGACATACTTAGGAACATACCAGCAGCCAGGGTCCCCCGAGACGTATTTGGGAACATACCAGCAGCCACAGCGCCCCGGAACAGAGCCCCAGCACATACACTGGTTCCCTGGTCTAGACAAGAGTCCTCTCCACTAACACCGGATGCCTGGTAGAGCTTTGGGGCTGAGAGAGTGACCTCAGAATGTTCAGTGATGCTTGGGCGTCCCCCACCAACACCGAGCGGCTGATGAAACGCCAGGGACACCTCGCTGAACTCAGGGGCCTGGGCGTTTGAGGCCACCCCACCAACCATTACAGAATCTCGACAGGGGGCCATCCCAGCGGCCACAGGTGACCGGCTCAGATCTTGGCCCGGGCTGCTCACGGCAGAGGAATATGATGTGCTCCAGGGGACTTCAGTCACAAATGATGGGTGATGCAGACTAGGGGCCACGGCATTCACTCTTGGTGGTAGATTTGAACCCACTGTAGGGACCCAGCCTGACTGGCCAGCTGCGCAACTGGTACCACCGATTACAGATGGCTGGAAGAGGCTGAGGGGCCCCCTGTTGGCCACAAATGACCGGGCCAGGCTGGGGGCCACCCCACCGGTCACAGGTGGCTGGGCTAGGTTAGAGACCACCACACAGGCCACTGATGGCTGGACCAGGCTGGGGGCCACCACACAGGCCACTGATGGCTGGGCTATGACGGGAGCTGCCCCATCAGTCATACATGGCTTAGCTAAGCTGGGAGCTATCGCACTGGTCACAAATGGCTTAGCTAAGCTGGGGGTTACTCCACTCCTCATAGACAGCTTAGTTATAGATGGCTTAGCTAGGCTGGGGGCCACCCCAC